TACACATCATTCGCTTACCCTCTTTCTCGGTCTACCTGTGTAGGTGTATACGTATGTATGTATGTATGTAGGTAGGCAGGTAGGTAGTAGGTATGTATGTATGTATGTATGTATATATGTATGCATGCATGCATGCATGTATGTATGTATGTATGTATGCATGTATGTATGTATGTATGTATGTATGTATGTATGTATATATGTATGCCTCCCCCATCCATGTTGTATACATATGTATGTACGTATGTATATGTCTCTGTCGTTGCCTCTCGCTCCCTGTCTCTCTCGGCACACACACACACATCTATACACACATATGTATACATATATACATAAATACATACTTATGCCAGCCAAGGTGAACCTCACACATCGTGTGTCGACCCAGATATGGTATGCAACATGTCTTGGGCTGCTTACGTACGTGCTGCAACCCATGTGGTACAGTCTGTGAATCAAGATCTACGCGAAGCAAGATCGGTGGTGCAACTTACGTGGTGTTGTTGGTGTTGGCTTCCTCGCGCGCGCACATTCCCAACGCTCGCGCAACCATACCACCCACCCGCCCGCAACTTGGTTTGCAAAGCCCATGCGGCGGCGATTGCGATGGCTGCTTGGCGCTTCTCGTGCATCGCTGCGGCCGCGCTAGCGCGCGCAGGCTCGCGCGCAAAGCGGCCAGTTAGTCTGGCGAGATCGATGCGGCCGCGGTGGCGTTGACCGCTGAGGTCTTCCCAGCGCGGCTCGCAGGCCGCGCATCAGCGCGGCCTGCGGCAATGACGGTGCCGATGTTGATCGCGCCAATGGCGATGATGGTGTTCTTGCGACGGTGGTGAAAGTTTGGGGCGATTTCGCCATGCGCGCGCGGTCGACGCCGCGCGATTGGCCCGCACGGCATGAGTTCCCAACCCTCTGTGGTGGAGTATTCGGTTTGAAGAGAGCACCGCGGTCGCGTTTCCCACCTCCTCCCGCTTCCCGCCTCCGCCTGCCTTCTCTTCGCCGTCCCTGGGGGTTGCGATCTGCGAAATTGTCAGCGGAGTGAAGCGCCGCGCGGGCTTGAGGTCGACCTCGCCGTCACTGGGGGGCTGCGATCTGCGAAATTGCAGCATACTTCGAGGGCTGCTGGTTGCCCCAGCGGAGCGAGACACTGCGCGGACCCGAGATAGACCTCGCCGTCTTTGGGGGGCTGCGATTTGCGAAATTGTCGCAAATTTCGAGGGCTACTGGTGGGCCCAGCAGAGTAAGGCACCGCGCGGGCCTGAGGTTGACCTCGCCGTCCCTGGGCCGTTGCGATCTGCGAAGCTGTCGCACCGCGCAAGCGTGAGGTAGACCTCGCCGTCCCTGGGGAGCTGCGATCTGCGAAAGTGTAGCCACGTTCGGGGCCCGATGGTGGGCCTAGCGGGGCGAGGCACCGCGCGGACCTGGGGTAGACCTTGCCGTCCCAGGGGGGGGCTGCGATCTGCGAAACTGTCTCTACTTTCGAGGTTGCTGGTGGGTCCAGCGGAATGAGGCACCGCGCGGACTTGAGGCAGACCTCGCCGTCCATGAGGGGCGCGATCTGCGAACGTGTCGCCGCTTTCGAGGGCTGCTGGTGGGCCCAGCGGGGTGGCGCACCACGCGGGTTTGAGGTAGACCTCGCCGTCCTTGGGGGGTTACGATCTGCGAGCGTTTCGCCAATGTCGAGGGCTGCTGGTGGGCCCAGCGAACGGAGTGAGGCACAGCGCCAATTTGAGGTAGACCTCGCTGTCCTTGGGGGGGGGGGGGGGGGAGCTGCGATGTGCGAAACTGTCGCCACGTTCGGAGGCTGCTGGTGGTCCCAGCGGGGTGACGCACCGCGCGGGCTTGAGGTAGACCTCGCTGTCCCTGGGGGGTTGCGATCTGCGAGCGTTTCGCCAATGTCGAGGGCTGCTGGTGGGTCCAGCGGGCGGAGTGAGGCACCGCGCCAGCCTGAGGTAGACCTCGCTGTCCCTGGGGGGAGCTGCGATCGGCGAAACTGTCGCCACCTTCGGGGGTTGCTGGTGGGCCCCGCGGGGTGAGGCACCGCACAGACTTGAGGTTGACCTCGCCGTCCTTGGGGGGGGGGTGCGACCTGCGAAACTGCCGCCACTGTCGAGGGCTGCTGGTGGGGCCAGCGGAGTGAGGCACCGCGCAGACCTGAGCGAGACCTTGCCGTCCCAGGGGGGGGGCTGCGATATGCGAAACTGTCACCATTTTCGAGGGCTGCTGGTGGGCCCAGCGGGGTGAGGCACCGCGCAAGCCTGACATAGACCTCGCTGTCCCTGGGGGGCTGCGATCTGCGAAACTGTCGCCACTTTCGAGTCGCCACTTTCCAGGGCTGCTAGTGGGCCCAGCGGGCTGAGGCACAGCGCAGACCCGAGCGAGACCTCGCCGTATTTGGAGGGCTGCGATCTGCGTAACCGTCACCACTTTCGAGGGCTGCTGGTGGGTACAGCGGAGTGAGGCACCGCGCGGACCTGAGGTAGACCTCGCCGTCCCTGGGGGGCTGCGATCTGCGAAACTGTCGCCACTGTCGAAGGCTGTTGGTGGGCTCGCCACTTTCGAAGGTTGCTGGTTGAGGCACTGCTCAGACCTGAGCGGGACCTCGCCGTCCTTGGGCGGCCATGTCATGTTGTTGCCGCCCCGCCGACGTTCCAAGCTTCTTGCCCACAGTCTCCTTTTAGACCTTGCGTCTTCCTTAGTGACTCAGGGGTCCACTAAATTACTCATCGTTTTCCCTTGATTGGGGACCTGCGAACCTTTCGACTGCCGCTCGCAGAAGTATGTGCGTCCATGTCACGTCGCCGTTTGCTCGTCAAATCTCCCAAACTACTACTGCCCCGCATTGCGCAGGGGTTGGGTATGTCGCAAGGGTAATGTGAGAGTGGTCGTGTGTTCCTGGCCCGTCTGACGCTGTCGGAAGCAGTATTGGATGCCTTTTCTGAACTGACTTGGAGCCCTCTTGGGGCGCTTCAGGGCCGGCTTGGAGGCCATCTTGGGCGTATTGGAGGCCTTGGGCCGTCTGGAGGCCATCTTGGGGCCGTGTTGGAGGCTTCTTGGGGCGCCACGTGGCCATCTTGGATGCTTCTGGGGCCATCTCGGGGCGACTTGGGGGGGGCCTCTTGGGCCGTCGGAAAGCCGTCGGAAGGCCCATCCCTGAAAACACTTGACGGGAATCCGTGATTCTGGCATCTTCCAGCCCTCCTGGCGGACCAGGCCTCTTGGGCCGTCTTGGATGTTCCATGGGGGGCCGTTTGGGAGGCTTCTTGGGCGGATTTGGACGCATCTTGGACCCTCTTGGGGCGTCTACGAGGCAATGTTGGATCATCTTGGGCGGCATTGAAAGCCATCTTGGCCGTTTCGGGGGGCACCTTGGAACCATCTAGAGCAGGAGAACCTTTGCAACCAGGTGTGGGCAAGCCTTCCCACTGGGAGCCTTTAGCAACAACAAGAAGAACGTTTAGCATGCCATGCACCCGTGTGATAAAGCAACAGAAGGCGGCGCGTATAGTGGCCTGCAGCGCATCCCGTTTTCGAGCTTGGGTTTTGGGTATGAAGCCTATTGAATGTTTGTTGGGATATCGTGGGGGGCCTCTTGGAGGCAGTTTGGAAGATTCTTTGGGGCCGTCTTGTGGCCTCGTTTGGGCCTCCTGGGGGCCTGTTGGGGCCTCTTTGGGGCATCTTGAGGCCTCCTGGGCGCCTCTTGGGGCCTCCTGGCGGCCTCTTTGGGCGGAAGGCTCGGATGTTCGGTTCGTGTTCCTTCTCTTGGGCCCCTATTTGGGCTGTCTTGGGGCCGTATTGGGCCGTCTTGGGCGCCTCTTGGGTTTTCTGGGGGCTCTCGTAGATAATTTGGGCATGTTGGGCTGTCTTTGGGCGGTTTCGGTGGCCTCTCAGGCCGTCTTGGAGCGTCGGAAAACAGAAAATACGCAAACGCTGAAATCTTCAACAACCAGAGGAATCACTAATTTGTGCCTCTTGGGAACCTCTTGGGAGGCCTCTTGAGGACGTCTTGGGAAGCCTCATGGGGACCTCCTGGGGCGTCTTGGAGGCTTCTTGGGCCATCTCGAGGCCATCTTTGGCGTCTTGGAGCGATATGTGGGCGTCTCCGAGCGTTCTGGCGCCGCCCAGAGGGCACGCGACAAACTCACTGAGAGTTGTGAGTTCGAGGTCCGGGCCCCTTCCAGACTAAGGGCACGGCCACTCCGTGCCCGGCGGCAGGGCGGTGTAGTTTCTATGCCTCTCTCTCTCTCTCTCTTTCTTTGATGTTTCTCTCTCTCTCTCTCTTTCGTGGTTTGTCCCTCTCTCTCTCTTCCTCTCTCTCTCTATTTCTTTTTTTCTCTCTCTCTCTCTCTCTCGTTCTCTCTCTCTCTCTCTTTCTCCTACCTTCTTTTTCTCTATACATATAAACATGAATCTACCATACCACGGCTGATTTCCCCGTCGCGTGGGGGGAAATTATCTGGCACAATTTGAAGCCCGATAATGCGGCCCGGTTCCGGTTCCGGTTCCGGTTCCAGGATGGGTCAGAGCGGCGTAGGATACCCAGGAAGGCCACAATGGGTGTCGAAATCACCTCCAGGACGGCCACGACAGTCTAAATACGGCCGAATCCCCGAGGTGGCTGCAAGACTGCGCAGGAAGGCTCAAAGTCCCCCCAAGAGGCATCCAAGATGCAGAACTTATATATTTCGTGGCATGCTTGCTTTCTCCTTAATTATCCAAATCTTCTACGACGGACCAAGATGGCCCGAGAGGCGCCCAAGAGGGGCCCAAGACAGTCTTCGAGGGCCCCGAAACACCCAAACCGGCCCGCTGCAAGGGCTCCAGATTCGGATTCTAGACGGCCCAACAGGGCCCCCAGACCGCCCCTAGCTAGAAAGCCCATGGGGTCCCTCATGACGACACCTGAGGAACACAAGACTGCTCAAACTGACCCCCAGACGGCCAGAAGTGTCTTTGTCGTAGTTTTGTCATGCGCGTGCCATCCATGGGCAGCAGAGCGGCAGGCATTCAAGACGGAGTTGACGGAGCAGACGTATCCGGAGATTCTGCGGTCGAATTTGGGCCCGCCCCCCAGTTTGCGCGGCGGAGGCAGCGGTGACGGTCAGGGGAAGCGAGGGACGGGTCGGAGGATGGACCGTCTGTGGGCAGGCCGTCTCATCCGACGTTTCAACTTTTCTTGGCATCGGCCCCTGGAAATCTCGACCCACTTCTCCGGGGCAGGTGTGTCATCTTGAGTTGAAATTTCTTGACGCTCCTGGGTCCAGGGAGCGGCCTCCTGAGGCTGAAACCTACGGACAAGCGCCGTCACCATGTTTTGGTTGTTGCAGCGCCTGGACCTGAGTGGGGGAGGACCAGGACTTCCGCCGGCAGGAGCGTAGCGTCCTTCTCAACATGCCTCTCCCCCTCCCGAAGCGCGCCCTGCGGTGCGTCGCCGTGTGCGGTGGTCGCGCGCGCGCGGGCTGCGGCGCACCGCAGGGCTTGCGTGACTCCGCCGAAAAGACATGCACACAGGCACCCTCGGGTGGATTGTTCCTGGGCCTCAGGGGGAGGGTGGCGGTGCAGACGTCAACGGCACTGTATGACGACATACGTATATCTACATATTATACACATGGGTGTAGGTATGCATACATGCATGCATGCATGCACTCATGTGTATGTATGTATGTGTGTATTTATGTATGTATGTATGCATGCATGTTGGGTTGTATGCATGTATGTATGCATGCATGCATGTGGGTATGTATGCATGTATGTATTTATTTATGTATGTACGTACGTACGTACGTATGTATGTATGTATGGGTGTATGTATGTATACATGTATGTATGGATGCATGTATGCATGCGTGTGTGTATGTATGTATGCATGTACATACGTGCGTACGCATGTATGCCTGTATGGGTGTATGTGTGTTTGTTTGTACGTACGTAGGTGTGTGTATGTGTGTAGTTATGTGTGTATGGATGTATGTATGTATGTATGTGCATGTATGTATGTATGTATATATGTATGTATGTGTGTATGTAGTTGTATATATATAGGTTTGTGTGCGTACGTATGCATGTTTGTATGTATGTATGCATGTGGGTAGGTAGGTAGATCGGTATGTCGGTATGTATGTGTGTATGTGTGCTTATGTGCGTAAGTGTGTATGTATGTGTGTATGCATGCAGGCATGCATGCATGTATGCAGGTAGGTATGTGTATGCATATGTGTATGTATACATACGTGTATGCATGCATGTAAGTAAGTATGTTTGCATGCATGCATGCATGCATGTATGTATGTAAGTATGTGTGCATGCATGCCTGTCTGTCTGCCTGCCTGCCTGCCTGCCTGCCTGTATGCATGCGTGGGCCCATGCATGCATGCATGCATGCATGCATGTATGCATGTATGTATGTATGAATGTATGAATGTATGTATGTATGTATGTATGTATGTATGTATGTATGTATGTATGTATGTATGTTTATACATCGACTTCGTGGCATACAGACTTCCAGCGCATGAACAAAAACAAGGCGGAGGGAGTTCGCCGTGTTCGGCCTCCCGAAGGCTCGCTGCGGGCCTCGGGACCGTCAAACTCCGACTCGGGACAGCACACCGGCCCTGTGGAGGGGGTCCCCAGACTTCGGGGACCCCGTGTGGAACAAAGCGAGGTCTCGGATGCCTGCGCCACGTTCTAAACAGGACCTCCCGCGGATGGCTTGTGTCTCATTCCTTCGAGGAAAAGAAACCAATACAGACATAGAGTGTTGGAGACCCGCGCGGATATCTTGGATCGCTGCTGATCCCCCTTGGCAGCGCCTCCGGTGCCGGCTCTGGCTCGCTCCGCGCGCCAGGGACGGGGTCCAGCGCCAATCCAAGCACATGCTCCAGCACAGAATTTCCGGAGCTCGGCATGGATTTCTTGGATCCGTGCTCAGCCCTGCTGGCGGCGCCTCTGGCGCGCTCCACGCGCCAGGGAGGGGGTCCAGCGTTGATGCCAGGCATCTGCGCGGACCTCCGACAGTTTCTGTAAGTTTGGCCTTCGGGGGCCGAAGCGAAGGCAAGGCATAACATGCTTTGACGATTACCAGGACGTGTGTTAGCTGATGTGTGTGTGTTTGTGTTACCCCGTTCGGCCCTCGTTACAGTGGCTGCGTCGTCTTGAAGGGCTTCGGTGGACAGGCCCACGATGGCGCCAACACACGTTCTGAGGATCATCGACTGTTCGCCCCAGGGGCGAGGCGTCGAGAGTGCCTCTGGGGCCCACGGGTGGACAAGTCATCCGCCCGAGGTTCGGGGATGCCAGCGTCACGTTTCGCAATCGCACGCAGTATGTGGTTCATTAACCAGCCTCGAGCTTATCCCTGTCCCTAAGATCTACAAGCCCAAAGGCGATGACGATCTCAGGGGTGCGCCCTCAGAAACTGAGGGAATCCTTCTTAAATCCGGTATCGAGATCGGGTGACGCCAACGAGAGGGATCGGAAAAGAGGGGGGTGATGACTAGTGGGGGGGGATTTCATGGAGCGAGCTATGATTTGTCCTCAGATTTCATGGCGCCTCTTCTTATTTTATTACGTCCCAGGCCCCCCCGCTGGGCCGCGCACATGCCGCCGGTCATGATTTGCACCCCCCCTCTTGGACACCCCCCTCTTGGCCACTCCCGAAATGAGAGGGATAGTGATGTGCTCCAGTCTGGTAGTTCACAGGATCTACAGGTGGAACATCTGCGCCGGGTGCGGCCGACACCTTGGCTCCAGCACAGGCAGCTCGTGCTGTGCGAGCGATGTCAGCGCATGCACCGACGATGGTTGCCAGCGGTTCTGGTGCATTGTCAGAGCCCCGAATCATCAGGGGTAACTCGGGTCAGGACTAGCTCGGGTTGGTTTTTCGGGTATCCGAACCCGAGTTACCCCGGACCCGAGTTACCCCGGATAATTCGGGCGTCCAGAGCCCCAAATCATCAGGGGTAATTCGGGTCAGGGCTAACTCAGGTTCGTTTTTCGGGAATCCAAGCCTGAGTTTCCCCGGCCCGAGTTACCCCGGATAACTCGGGCGCCCAACACTGCTGCTCTGCGGTCGTACTGCGCAGAGGGCGTTCTTATGTGCGGTGATGCCTCTAAGCGCAGAGGCGTCATCAGGCCATGAGGCGCCGTGTTGCCCACGCGTACCGTGGCGGCCATATGCGCTGCTCCCCTGAGTTGTTCCCCGGAGGTCGCAGGCGCCGTAAGGGCCACGTGGGCGGTGGCATTCCAGAGCAATGCGGCGCCTGCTGCATGTCGTGTTCGATCCTCGCGTGTTCCGCTTTTTGCCTACCACTTTCCATATGTGGTGTTGACGTGGCCTCTTTATCGCCACTCATTGCGTCGCATATGTTTTGATATGGCGTTCCTACTTCAGCCTGGTACTATTGTAGACGCTTCGCGTAACCCCGCCAGCCCATCCAGAAGCGATGCCCAGACGAGTTGCCCTGATCAAGGATGTGGAGTAGAACGCGTTGGACAAATGGGTAAGACGTCGTGCCCCAAGAGGGGGCATGGAGGAGGAATCGGAGGAGAAGCAATAGGAGGAGGAGGAGGAGGAGGAGGAGGAGGAGGAGGGCGAGAGGAAGGAGGGACGAGCAAGGAGGAGGAGGAACATGTGGATGCGGAGGAGGAGGAAGAGGAGGGCGAGCAGAAAGGCCAGAGGCCTCGTGGATGCCTCTCGGAGTCTCTTCGGATTTCGTTTGAAAGTATCTTGGAGTACCCTTGGGTGTCTTGGGGGTCTCTTTGCAGTCCCAGAGGCCTCTTGGGTTGTCTTGGGTGCTTATGGGGGGACTCTTGCAGCCTCTTGGGGGTCTCTTGGGGGCGTCTTGGGGGCCTCTTAGGGCCTACTGCGCACCTTGGGGCCGTCTTGGGGCACCCTTGGGAGCCTCGGGGGCCAGCTTGGGGCCATCTTAGGAGAGATCGGTCAAAGGAGGGGGCTCCAGGGTCCGCCCCCAGGAGGCCAAAGTGTGGCCAGCGCCTTAGTAAAATCAGCGATGCTGGCTTTCTCGCCGAGGCCTTTTTGGGAGCGTCTTGGGTGCCTCTGGGGGGGCCCTCTTGGGGCCTCTTGGGGGTCTCTTGGGAGCCTCTGGGGGGCATCTTGGGGAGCCAGGCTTGGGGGCCTTCTGGGTACCTCTTGGGGCCCTCTTGGGGCACCCTTGGGAGCCTCGGGGGGCATCTTGGGGCCACCTCGGCGAGCATGCCAACATAATTGATGTCACTCTGGTTTGGGCCACATGTTGGCCTCCTGGACAGGGACCCTGATTAAGAGCCCCCCTCCTTTGAACGATCTCCTCCGAAGCCTCTTGCGGCGTCTTGTGTGCCTCTGGGGGGCTTCTTGGAGACTCTGGGGGGCCTCTCATGAGCCTCGTGAGGGCAACTTGGGGGGTCTCTTGGGGGCTTCTTGGGGCTCTTGGGGCACCCTTGGGACTTGGGAGCCGCGGGGGCCATCTTAGGGCCATCTTGAGGGAGATTGATCAAAGAAGTGGCCGTAGTACATTTAGGGTCCCCCCACCCCAGGAGGCCAAAGTGTGGCCAACACCTTAGTAAAACTTGATTATGGCTTCCTCGTCGAGGCCATCTTGGACGCTCCAACGTCTCGGGAAACCTCCCCTCCAGATACAGGGGAGGGGTAGGGTGAGGGGTAACACGTCTACGATGGGCAAGAAGGGAGGTTGGAAGAGGAAATCCGCTCAACCACTCGCGCCCTACAGGGCCGGTGGGATTTTCTTGCGGTCCGCACGCTTCCTTCTCCCCCTTTTCCCCTCATCATTCTCCCCTCCCTTTTCCCTTTTCTCCTCTTCCCCTTCCCGGGTTGCGATGTCCGAGTGCCTGGGCAAATTCTGGACCGAGTCGCCCTCTTTGCAGGCCCCTCGTTTTCCCTGAGCCCCTCCATTTTCCCCTTCACCCCGGCTTCTCTCTCGGCGGCCAGCCAATTCGCGGGTCGCCCCGGATCGCCGCCCGCGGGGCTGGTGGAGCTCTTCTGCCTCGCCGCCGACGAACAAATGTTTCTCCCTCGGCATCTTTACCCTCAGCTCCCCTCCCTGCGGGCAGTACTTACATCCATATCCAGAGCGTCTTGGACTTTTCGGGAAGAGGTGCCGCAACGCCGATGCGCACTGGATATGGATAAAATCAAGGCTCTTGGGGCCAGATTTTTATCCATATCCAGTGCGTCTACGGTTTCTGGGGAAGAGAGCCCAAGACTCCAAGACACACTGGATGTGGATATAACTATTGCCCGCACTCCCTCCCGCCGATCCGTCCCCTCCGTCTGTGTGCCGCTCGCCCTGCCCTGCCGCCCCTCCCGGCTCTGAGACCCCTCCCCCCCCGAGCCCCCCCCCCCCCTGTTCTCTCCTTCCCTCCCCTCGGCTGCGCGTTTCCCTCCCTGAGGCCCTCTCCCTCCGTTCCCCATTCTTTCCATCTTCCTCCACCGCCAGATTATGCCCCCCCTTCCCGAGCCCCCCCCCCCGACTCTCCTTCCCTCCCCTCGGCTGTGCGCTTCCCTTCCTGAGGCCCCCTCCCTCCCTTCCCCATTCACTCCCTCTGCTCCACCGCCAGATTACGTATGTCCGCGTCCGCTGTTTCGGAGTCGCGCCTGGAGACCGCGATAAGTGGTGGATATGGAGATTACCCCGCCTTCAACGCTGGAAGGTATCCAGCTCGGCTACACCCCGAGTTCCACGGGCACGACCCCGAAGCGGTGGATATGGATATTCCCTGGCGGTAAATCCATGCCTCATCTCTCCTCCCTCCCCCCCTCCCTCCCTCCCTCCCTCCCTCCCCCCCCGCCCTTGGGCCCCTTGGTCTCTGCGTGCGTTCAATTCCCGGGCGCAAGCAAACGGCGACTCGTCGCGATAGCTCCCGTGCAGTCGCAGGGGCCGTTCGGGGATCGCTCCTCCCCCGCAGTGGTGGGGAACGACGCACCATCTCGCGGTCCAGACCGAGGCGCGCGGCTGTTCAGTTCCCAGGCTTCCGCCGTGATGTTCGTTCATTACAGTGGCGCCAAGAGTTCGGGCCTTGTCAGTGTTCGGCCTCGGTCCCGGAGGGCCACCACGAGGCTCCGGGCTTGTCGTCAGCCAAGCAGCTCAGGACGAGCAGTCGCCCCCCCCCATGGGGAGGGGCCTGGGCTTCTGGGGACCCCGTGGCATAAAAGCACAGGGCGTCGGATCTCTCCGAGTGCTTCTCTCCCAGGAGGGGACCGGCCGGGCGCGCGAGCATGGCCGTAGGTGTGTGGCCTCTCGCAGAGCGACCCGCCAACTCCGTAGATCGTCTTACCGACCCGAGAGAGAGAAAGAGCAAAAAAAAAAACGCCAGAGGGCCGGCCCTCCCCCGCGTCCTTTCTCTCGGGGGGGGAGCAGCGCTCCTGGCGGCGCAAGACGCAGCGTCAGTCCCCCCCTCGACGTGGTGGCCCCCGGCCGACGTTTTTCAGTGGCTGTTGGCTGCTGTGGTGCGCGTGATGTCGCGAGGCGCGGCTCCGGCGATCTCGGGGGGCCGCGCGAGCATCAAGCATCAGTGGGCCGAGGGGTCGTTGTTCGGGTGGCGTGCGCCGATCCGCCGACCGCCAGAACGAGTGAGAGCTTGTCTCGATCGTGCAAATATTCTAGTGGGTCAGGGATCTCTGGGATGCACATGAGGGGCTCGTTGGATACCTCTCAGGGGCCTCTTGGAGGGCTCTTTGGGGCATCCGGGGTGTTTTGGGGGGCCTCTTGGGGGCTTGTTGTGAGCCTCTTGGAAGCTTCTTGGGGACTCTTGGGGGCTTTTCGGCGGCCTGTGGGGGAGGTGGGGGGTCATAGGGGGGGGTGGGGGGGGGAAGACTCGAAATGCCAGTTCGTATTCCTTCTCTTTGGCCCCTCTGAGAACCCTCTTGGGGATCTTGGGCCGTCTTGGGGGCCCTTCGGGCCGTTTGGGGTCCCTCTTGGGCTGTATTGGCGGCTTCTGGGCCCGTCTTGGGGCGATCTTGGGGGCTCCTTGCTGTCAAGACGAAAAGGCGAACATGCTAAACATGTACGCTTTTTCTTTGAATTTAGATATGTCTGACTCTTGGGGCCTCCTCCTGGGTGCTCTTTGAGCACTCGTGGGGCGTCTTGGAGGCATCTTGGGCCGTCTGGAAGCCAGCTTTTTGTTTTTTTTGAGCCTCCGCGGCGTGTTGGAGCCCAGCTTGAATCAGCTCACCTGGCACCTTACGGAGGCCACAGACCGTAAGTGTGGGAGCTCTGGAGGCGCCCCCCCTCCCTCTCCAACGGCATTTGGGAATTTGGGGGAGGGGGACAGCCACGGCCTTCGCACCCAAGGCAAGCCGCAAGCCGGGGTCGGCGGGCAGTTCTTGGAATCAAGCTATTCAGTGGACACCCATCAAGAGAAAAGCCGATCATCGATTGCTGCACAGGTTCCGTCGACACTGACATGCGTGGTGCACGCGGCCAAGAGGGGGGTGATGACTAGGGGTGGGGATATCATGGCCTGGGCCATGATATTTCCCCAGATTTCATGGCGCCTCTTCTTATTTCATTACGTCCGTGGTCCCCCCTTCGGCCGCGCACATGCCGCTGGCCATGATTTGCGACCCCCCCTCTTGGACGCCCCCCTCTTGGCCGCCCCAGGGTGCAGTCCCCCGTCGGCTTCGCTGATCGCGGCGTGTCGTGCCAGGTGCGTACTCGGCAGCTTGGCTATCCCGCCCGCGTGCGCCGGGATGCGGTGCCTCGCGCACCCGTCGAGTGCCCTTTGAAGGGGGCTTTTTACCCATGAGTCGAGCATGTCCCTCGACAGAAGGACTATTCCCAAATAGTAAAAAGACAGTCTGGGTACGATTTTTCTATAGTTTGAGAAAAGAAAAAACTATGTTTGATACTTTTCTGGGTCATGTTTATTTTTCGTGAAAAATCCGCCTGTAGGGGGGCATGCCCGACCTAATTCCACCCAGGGCTGGACCTAAACGCTGTTTGGCTAGACTTCGGCTGTGTTTTGTTTTTCGGTTTGGCAGGAAGGTACGGAAAACAGGTAGAGCAACAGCACGGAAACAAAACGAAAAACAGCGTTCAGGTCCAGCCTTGTTTCTACCCCCGACAGTAGCAGGAACGATTCGGGACGAAAAGCCAGCCCCAGGGGCGCCGAGAGTTCCAGGGTCAGGCGACTCGACCAAATCGAGCGTCGAAGGTCTGGGTTGCGTATTTCGGTGTGGCGGTCACGATCAACGGAAAACATGCGAGCGGGGCGGAGGAGGAGGAGGAAGATGGAGGAGGAGGAGGAGGAGGAGGAGGAGGAGAAGGAGGAGCGTATCTCCTTGCCGCCGGCTCCGCCGAGGCGTCGTGGTGCTCACTCTGAAGAAATTGGGTATCGACGACTTGGTGCACTTTGACTTCTTGGACCCCCCTGCTCCGGAGGACGCACTTCCTTTCCACCCTCCGCAAGCACGTGAAAACCGAGCAACTACAAGAACACAAACTGCGGATGTCCGTGTGGAGTTCTTTGGTCGGCGCTGGACCCCACTCCCCGCGACCCCTGGCGGCGTCTCCGGCACCGCCGCCGCGCGCTCCGAGGAGAGGGTGTGGGAGGTGACCCAAGAGGTCCGCGCGGACCTCGGACAGCTCAGGCTCCTGCAATCTGGTGTGAATTGCTTTCCAATGCAGGGGGGCCGCTCACAGTTCACTCCTGGCTCCCCCCCCCTCCCCTCTCTCCTCGCTCCCCGCCGGTCCACGTGCCCCCTCCTGCCACGCTTGTCCTCTCTTCTGGAGGGCTGCCTGCCGTCCTGCGCGGGCGTTCCCGGCCTCCTGCCGCCACGGACGCAGCTTTCGGGTCGGCAGGGCGGGAGTCTCCCTCGAACGCCCCAGGCTGTTCATCATGACATTCTTGCTGCGATAGTTTGCGCGTTGCCCCGAGAGTCTTCCTCGAACGCCCCAGGTGGTTTGACGGTGCCACGGCCGTTCACCGTGACACTCTTGCTACGATGGTCTGCGCGTTGCCCCGAGAGGGGCTGCGCCGATCCCCGCCAGCAATTTTTGTCCGTGGCCTCGTCGCCGTGTACACTGCAACGTGTGGTGAGTCTGTTGGGGTGCTGGGTGACCGCACGGTGTGGGGACGTGGGCAGTGATCCGAGGATTTCTCGGGCCGTGTACACTGCAACGTGTGGTGAGTCTGTTGGGATGCTGGGTGACCGCACGGTGTGGGGACGTGGGCAGTTCTCCGGAGATTGCTCGGGCAGTTGGGGCCTCCAGAGTCTAAAAAAACGGTGCGGCGAGGGTCCGCGCGGTGGGGTCTCTGCAGAGTCCGAGGTCCCCGCGCGGTCCGTCACCGCACCGTTTTGGGGAGGCCCTCCAGAGGTCCAAGGCACAGTCCCATAGGCTCGCACGGGTGCCCTTGCATCGTCTTCGTTCGTGGTTGGGCTCTCCGCCTTGGGGATGGTCTTCGTTTCGGAGATCTCCCTGGGCAATTTGGTTATCGGCGAAGGGTCTCACGCTCTTGGCATTCTTGGCCAGCGATCCTGCGGCCCTGTTTCGACCGACTCACAGTGGAGGCCCATGGCAAGAAACGCCCTGCTTGCCTCAGGGGTGCCCTGGGCTTCTTGGGCATCGATGGTCTTGCGAATGTCGGGCCGGACGAAGGGGGCGATTGGGAAAGGGGGGGTTACGAAATCTGCTGCATGCAGCTGGTTTCGGCCGCACCGAGGGGCCCATTCCTCGATACATGGCTGCCTCCGGCGCCGGGAGGCGCCGGGAAAATCAGCTCCGTGAGCTGATTCTCAAACCCCCCCTTTGCTACCCCCCCCCCTTTCGCCCGGCCCGAGAATGGAAGGCGTGACGTGCCCAGACCAAAAACCAATGGACGTCCTGGGGCCTCAGGGCTCGTTTTTTTGCTGGTGGAGGGTTTCCCGCGGACCGGCCTCCGCGGGACGTCACCCGCGGGGGGGGCGCGCAGGGAGCCGTGCCTCGCGGCCAGCGTCGGAGGAAACCTCCCCCTCTCTCTGGCGTCGAGGGGCACCGCAACGGGGCTCCGCGCTGACCGCGGACAGCCGGATCTCCTTCGAGCCTCCCTGCGAATTTGGGAGCCGCGCGAGGCCGACCCCCTCTCCTCCTCCTCCTCCTCTCCCTCCTCCTCCCCCCCTCCTCCTCCTCCTCCGCCTCCCTCCTCCTCCTCCCCCTCCTTCCTCCTCCTCCTCCTCCTCCTCCTCCTCTTCCTCCTCCTCCTTATCCTCCCTCCTCCTCTTCCTCCTCCTCAGCTCTGCGCAGTACTATCATCGAAGGACAGTGGTTACAAGCCAGACTCAACCAATATGGTTATGCCGAGGACGACCTGTGCCAGCACTCTCTGGATTGCACTGGAACGCTTCATCATCGCCTATGGTGCTGCCCTCTACTTCAGCAGGAGCGAGAGGCAGCTGTCGATGCAGACGTCATTCGGGCGGCACGCGCGTCTCATCACACCGACCTCTTCACGCGGGCGTTGTTACCGAGAGACGCTCTTCCCGCGATCCCGCCCCCAGCTCAGGACGAGCTGTGGAGATTTGTTCATGGAGGCGAATTGGCGATGATCGCAGGGGATATCTACACGGACGGATCTGGACTATCTATTATTGGGTGGCCAGAAGCTAACAGAGCAGGTTGGGGGATTGTGATGATGACGGGGCAAACAGTGCGTGGGATTGCATATGGCCCATTGCCAGGACACCAACAGTCGGTTCCTCGGGCGGAGTTCTTCGCGGGTATTCAAGTTTTGCGCCACGAGATTGTGCCGTTGCACATTCGTACGGACTGCATGGGCACAGTGGACGGGCTCCAGAAAAGAGATGAATGGTGCACTCATCCCCGCAGGCCGCACTGTGATTTATGGAGACAGCGGTGGCATGCACTGCAAGACCAGGGAGGATTGACATCCCAGCTGGAAATCACATACGTCCCCTCACATCAGACAACGGGCGAGGCGACCTTAGACAAGAAGGGCAACGACTACGCAGATGTGGCGGCTAAGCGGGGACTGGCCATGAATGCCCTTACGACGCAGGTCACGCACTTGCACTCCATCATGCTGAACATCTTGCGACAGGTGGCGTGTTGGATTGGATTGTCAATGACGTTGGTGGGCAACTCGGACAGGCAGCGGCCCCCAGCGCGCCGCCCTCGACGTCGGCAGCGGCGACCTTCGCGACCAGTACGACAGCAGCCACTACTGACTGCGAGCCAGCGCCTGCACGTACCCAGGCCAGGGCTCGCAGGAGGATGGACATGTATATACTGTCAGCGCTTCGCGCGGACCGCATCAGGACGCCGTCGAATGTGTTCGGAGGTGTGCTCTGCGCACCGCCCCTCGGAACCTCAGGCCCCTGCCCCTGGAAGGCCAGGGCGGCCTTGGTGAGCAGATGTAGGATGGCCGAAGGAGGAAGGAGCTTCGCGGGCCTCCCCTCTTCCCCCCTTCCTTGTCCCTTGAGCCTCCGCCTCCGCCCCCTCCTTTGCCCCACTCGAACCCCAGGGTTAGGATTGTGGGCAAGACTAGGAGACCTGAGGACGACGGGGCAGAAGCCTTCATCCGAGTCCAACGTAGGGTGAGGCCTAGAGTGCACTTCGAACAGCCTGTTCAGACCCGTGTTCGGGATGCGACGGTCGCCTTGGGTCCTTCAGTTGATTCGGAGAAGCGCCCCAGACTCGCGGCGGCCTCCACGAAGGCCAACGCGGTCCCTCCCAGCACGGTGCTTCCCGCGGAAGAGACGATCCCTCCTTCGACCTCTAGAGGCCACGTGCTCTACGGTGCCGGAGATGTTGTCGGATGCATACGTTGCGGATCAGTTTCGGAGCGTGCGCACAGATCCCAGCTGTACAATGAGTGTCTGGGCCCCAGGGCTTTTTTTAACGGGGAGCCTTCAGAGGAAGTGGGGGCGAACTAATTTCGCCTCGGCCCGCCACCCGAGCGAGGGCTGCAGTCATCCAATCCCGTTTCCCCGGTGTGTGCTTGTGTCAGATCCTGCGGTGGAGTGGTTCGGCCTCGCTACCTAATCTTTCTCTTGTTCTTGAACCCCACTCTTTCTGGAAGTGGTGGGTGGTGGGTCTGTCGTCCCGCCCCCCCGATCTCCCAGGTCAGCTTTCTTGGCCTGTGTCTGCCGCGCGGGCCCAGAGATGGGCGCGTGTGTGGGGATATGTCTGGGGAGTCCCTCACGTGTTCTCAATTCGTTATGTGAGAGATTGTGCGTTTCTCGCCTTTTCCCAAGCGTTGTTGCCCGTCCCGCACCTTGACTCGTCGCGTCCCCTCATGCGTTCGTTTTTCCTCCTCCTCCTCCTCCCTCCTTCTCCTCCTCCTCTCTCCGCCTCCTCTCCTCCTCCTCCTCCTCCTCCTGCTCCTCCTCCTCCTCCTCCTTGTCCCCCTCCTCCTTGTCCCCCTCCTCTTCCTCCTCCTCCTCCTCCTCCTCCCCCCTCCTCCTCCCTCCTCCTCCGCCCCCCTCCCCATCCCCCTCCCCCTCCCTCCTCCTCTTTCCTCCCCCCTCCCCATCCCCCTCCCCCTCCTCCTCCCTCCTCCCCTCTCGTCCTACCCCCGTGGGCGCGCCGCCACAGTGCATCCAGGGGCCCAGGCCTCGTGCGCGAGACCTGCTGCGGGCAGTGCGCTCGCGACACGGCCTTGGCTGGCCCGGGGTCAGGCGCTGACCCTGGCCAGCGCGTGCCCGACGGCGGGCGGCGGTGGGCGCCGCGAGGGTGCGAAGGTAGTCGCTCGTCGCCCCTCGCGCGGGGGGAAGTCGGCCGACATGGGCGTGCGCTGGTGCTCCCGTCAAACATGTGCGCGTCGCGCTTTCATTGGCGATCGTTAGTTATGCATTGTGTTGCCGATCGACGCGGGCCCTCGCACCCCCCCCACCCCATGGAGTTGATCTGGGCTGTTTTTGGCGCCTGTTCCGAGCAGGCGAAGTGTCCCCTCATAAGACGCACTGTCGCAAACAGTCTTACTAAGCGGAGGTCCAGAGCCAGGCCCCCCCCTCCCCCCCTCTTCGCTCAATGTCGAAACGCCGAACAAGAATACGCTCACTTGCCACTCGCATCCATCTGCATGAGGCAAGCCCTGCCGCCCTTCCACGTGCCGGCGCAGCGTGGGCATGCACGCAGGACGGCCTCCCGCGGGCTCGGCAGCAACCCCATTGGGCCCGCTTTCGGAAGCACCGCTGGAGCTATCTGTGTCTGCAGTGAGCTTCGCATGCCCTGCTTCGTTCGGTAGCAAGTATTGGGAGCCTCGTGTACCCTCGTAACTCCGTCGGTTAGCGCCGCTTCAGCGTCGATTTAGCGCCGATCTAGCGTCGATTAGCGTCGACCTAGCGTCGCTTAGTGTCGATTCGCAGGAGCCGACACGATGGTACGGGAGGTCCCCGTCAGGTGCCACCGAAGCCCCGCCCCCTCTCAGGCCACCCCGCGGGCGGTCCCTCCGAACGGGGGGGTGCACGAAGCAAGGGCGCCCTCGAGGGCACGAAGTTATACGCGCTTCGCGGTTCGGCTCCGATTCCCCCTCATCCTCCTCTCCTCCTCTGGGAGGCGGCGCGAGAGCGCGAGGTTATCCGCGCTCCGCGCTTCGCGCAGCGCGAAGCTGGGAGGCCTTAGCGAAGACTGCCACGTGCAGCCGGGTCGCCCGCGGGCGCGCGCAGGCTCGAGCGCGCTGCGCGCGCCACGGCCTGAGCCCGAGCGGTTTCGGGCCCCTCCTCCGAGGGCTCGGCGCGGTGGCCCGCCGAAGCGAGGGGGGACCGCTCGCCGCGCCTCCAGGGCTCGGTCCGAGTTCTCCGATTCTCAGCACGAGCGAGATGGGCACGGAAAGAATGGGTACAATGTTCAACAGCAGTTCCTGTTCATTTCGAACAGGACTCGCTGTCCACGCCGCCGCGGCCTGTGTCCATTCGGGACAGAAGGCCGCCTGCCCAATAGCGGCCGCTGTTGGTTTGGGGCAACATTTGTTGTTGGGCATTGTACCCATTCTTTCCGTACCCATTTCGGGCGTCCAAAGATTCGATTCGATCTCGATGTTTTCCCGTTCCGATCCGATGCGACTTCGACGGCCTCTTGGCTTTTCCGACTTCGATGGGGTTCCGATTCGGGTTCCGACTTCTCAGCGGAGGCCTGCTGGCCTGCCGATGCCCGCGGATTCGACTTGTCCCAGCTCGGCTGCCGAGTTCCGCCGATCCGATTCATTTTTTATACCCGATCCGATTCATCGATTCGATTCTGGGCTCTCCTGCGACTGTGATCACCTCTGCGTCGTTGCCTGTTTTAGGCTCCTCGCTCCTGTCTGCCGCCGCGGCGGTTGTTGGGACGTGGACGGCCAAGGGTCTTGCATCCTTACCTTAGCCACGCGCAGAGGGGGGTGGGGGGAGGGGGGAGGGCTTCTTAGAAGCACCCCTGCTTCTTAGAAGGCGCGGGCCTTATCTATAGATGTAAGGCCAGCACCTTCTAAGAAGCAGCCTCCTTCTAAGAAGCCCTCTTCCTCCCTCCACCCCCTTGTGCGCGCCGCCAATTACCCCTCCTTAGGATGCAACTCTTGGGAGGCTTGATTCAGAATCCGCACCGAACAGGCCTGATCCCGTTCGATCCAGCGTACTGTCGGACTTCATCCGGCCCGATCCGGCTCAGCGGCCCCTCAGTCAGGCTCATAGTCCTCATCCGTTTTGACGAAGGCCTCCCGGGAGTTGCCTCTTGACCTGCCCCCCTCTCCCGTCCCCCTCGTGACCCAGCTCGCCCGCAGACTGCGGGGGTCGGCTCGCGCCTCGATCGCACCCCGCGGCCCGGGCTGGATTGGTGCCCCTCCCTGCCTGGTAGTGCCGCGCGAGGGCGCGATGACACGTGGTCTTAAGTCGGGCCTGTCATTCTACAGGAGGAATATTCAAAGATAGTCAAACAATAGTCTGGGGACGATGTTTCGACTATGTTTGATAATTTTGGGCATGTGATGAGTTTTGCTTATTTTTCGTCCAAAAATCCGCCTGTGGGGGGTACGCTCCCGAGCTAAACGTAGTCCCGCATCGTGCGGGCGCGAATCGCGAAGCGCGACGCGCGAAGGGAGGCGGGGAGGAGTGGAAGGGGGGGCAGTGGGAACGGGGGAGGAGACCATCGACCTTGCTGTGATTGGCCTTCCCTGATGGACAGGGCCCCTCAGTCAAGTTTAGCCTCTCGCATGATTGCCAGCAGGGCCCTTCACACCTCAAACTACGGCGCCCCCGAGGGTAAGACCGCCACGCCGGGGTGGAGGAGGAGGACGGGGGAGGAGGACGGGGGAGGAGGACGGGGGAGGAGGAGGAAGAGGCGGTGAGGAGAAGCGGGAGGGCGAAGGAGTCCGACTCGCGCCCACCTTCTTGGAGTCGGCTGGCAGACCGAGGTGGCCCAGAAATGAGTCTGGCCAACAGGAAGGGGGTCGGCTGGTTCGAGGTGCTAGGTTCGAGCATGTGTGGTATTTTGAATCGGTCCTGGGGGGCCGTTTTCGGGCCCCTGGACCGTCAAAAACGGATTGCGGGTGGAACGTTGCACCAGGTGGACCCCGGGAGGGGTTTTGGGACATGTTTCGAGCGGGTTTGCTCTTATCCCCCCCGTGTTGACAGATGTTCTCGGGCCTTATCCAGCTCTGACCCCTCGGTTGTTTCTAAGAAAGGGGGTAGTACGGTGGGGTGGGAGGGGAAGACGGTGGAGGAGGAGGAGGAGGAGGAGGAGGAGGAGAAGGGGGAGGAGGAGGCAAGGAAAAGGAGGGGGGACCGAGTCTTACTCGCGCCCCCTCCCTTCATTGCTTGCCGCCTATGAAGGCAAATTGGAAGATGTGTGATAGCGAGTCCCGTCTTGGGAGGTGCTATCATGTGTGACAGATTTCAACGAGTGGTAACCAATGTATCGAAAAAGTATCTCAAGACATTGATGCGCGCTCTGGAGATGTTGAATTACCTTGGCATGCTCAATGACGACGGTGATATCACTGATATCGGGGACCAGTCGTCGGAGTTCCCGTTGGACCCGCAGCTTGCGAAGATGCTCATAGAGTCTCCGAAGCACCGGTGCAGTAACGAGATATTGTCAATAGCCCGAATCTCAGAGTTGCTCGATGCCCACGCCATCATCACCAAGGGGGCACTATGCATGTTGCTGGTTTGCGATCGGGCCAGGTCGTATCTTGAAGCATCTCGGCGTTGGGATTGATGTGATCAGCTGCTACCGCCGTAAAGACGAGTTACTTGCGTGGACATCACTTGCGAGGGGGATGATGGTGTGTGCACGCGGCAGGAAGAGGAAACGAAGCAGGAGAGAGGACTTGGGGGAGGAGGGGAGGAGGAGGAGGAGCAGGAGGAGGAGGAGGAGGCGGCGGAGGAGGAGGGGGAGGAGGGGGAGGCCGAGGAGCACGAGCAGGATCAGGCGTAGGATGAGAGGGGGGGGATGGAAGGTGGTCTCGGAAGGTAGGGGACGGGAGCCGGCGGAGGCGAAGCGTCAGGACCAGGGGGAGCTGGAGCGCAGGCAGGAACAGAGCGATTGACGGGAGCGGGTGTGTGGGGGGGAAGGGGGCCAGAAGAAAGGGGGTGTAAAGGAGGGGGAGGAGGAGGAGGGGGGGAGGAGGGGAGGAGGAGGGGGAGGAGCAGGGGGAGGGGAGGGGGGGGAGAGGGGGAGAAGGAGGGGGAGGAGGGGGGGGGGAGGAGAAGGAGGAGGAGGAGGAGGAGGAGGAGGAGGAGGAGCTGGGGGGGACGGGGGTGCGGGCGCGGGAGGAGCGAAGGCCAGGGGAGGGGCGGGAGGGAGGGAGGGGGGTGAGATCCGAGGAGGCGTGTTGGCCCGCGTGGGCCCCAAGCAGCTGTGTTTCCAGCAGCATCCGGCCATGCCAGAATCACCCTGCTTGCCTCCAGAGCGTCTTGGGTTTCGATGGTTTTGCGATGGAAAGCGCCACGTTCCCGCTCCAAAAATCGCTGGACGTCCTTGGGTCTCCTCGTTGGGTTTCTTGTGGAAGGCTTCTTGTGAACTGGTCTCCACTGTAGTGACGGTTCTCTTATTCATTGGTTTGCCGATCGGCGCGGGCCCTCGCACCCATTCCCCCCCCCACGCCTGACCTGGATTCTATCTTGGCTGTTTTTGGCGCGCGTTTCGAGCAGGCGGAGTCTCCCCCATGGGACGCACTGCTGCAAACAAACACATTAAGCAGGGATCCGGAGCCACCCCCCCCTTCCCCCCCTAAGGCCCAATGTCTAAACGCCGAATAAGAAATCGTTCACCACTCCTGCCTGAGACATCCTCGCAACTCTGGGTTCCGAGACGCCCTGGGCTGAGGTGGTCAGACCACTCTCGCCAGAGACATCCTCGCAATTCTGACCTCAGAGATCTCTTGCCCCATGGTGGTCAGGCCATTTTCGCCTGAGACATCCTCACAACTCAGACCTCGGAGGCGTCCTGCCCCATGGTAGTCTGGTCACCTTGACCAGCGACATCCGTGCCACTCTGGTTTCCAAGATGCCCTGCCCCATGGTGGTCCGGCCACGCTTGCCTGAGACATCCTCGCATTTCTGGGTTGCGAAATGCCCCGAGCTCAGGTGGTCAGGCCACTATCGCCTGCGACATCTCTGCGGCCTGTGCGGGCATGTGCGTCTATGCTTTCAGAGTTTTGCTTGACCGTGCATTCGACTGTGCGTCGGACGGTGTGGCATGTGCGCGCATGTGCGGCAATGCTGTTGAGGCTTTTGTATATTTGCATGGGCATGTGCATGCGACTGTGCGGCATGTGCCTGCATGTGCGGCCCCTTCCGGACCACAATTTCAAAGTGAGCACTATAGAAGTGAGCGCTATAGAAGTGAGTCCGGTGTATGTGGAGACATTCGTGTTGTGCAGTTTGCGTGGTGCGACCTATGTTGCGCAGTCTGTCTTGTGCCACACATGTTGTGCAATATGTGGTGCAGTCTATGCTGTGCTGGACATGTGGTGCAATCGATGTAGAGCACTTCTTGTTGTGCAAATGTCTCTGGTGTAATCTATGGTATGCGATCTATATTGTGCAGTTCATGATGTGCAGCATGGGTGGTGCAGTCTGTGTGATGCAATCGATGTGGTGCAATAGATGCTCTGCAATATATGTTGTGTCATCTATGTGGTGCAATCGATGTGTTGCAGTATATGTGGTGCGATCTATGGAGCACAATCTATGTTATGCAATCTATGTGGGGGCGGCGACGGCGACAGCATCGCCGCCAGACGAACAGACAGGCCCAGGTACGGGCGGCGACGGCGACAACATAGCCGCCAGACCGACAGACAGGCCCGGTTCCGTAGAGGAGAAGTGCAAGCACTGTTCCAGAAGCCCCCAAGTGCAAGCACTGGTCGGGGAATGAAAAGGAGGTGGGGGAGAAGAGCAGAGCGACAACAGGATGAGAGGCATGGCGGGGACCAGGGGCGCGGAGAACTCGGAGGACGAGGATGAGGGAGGATCGTCTTCACGCGTGAGATTGTGCGTGGGCAAGCCAACTCAGGAGGACCATGGAGCTTAGAATCAGGGGGTCACCGAGAGGGCGAGGACGAGGTTCAAGAGGCGTCGGAGGGGACGAGTGTGAGTGGTCTGAGCACGCCGAGTCTGGGTGTGAGGGAGTCTGGATGCGAGTGGGTCTGAGTGTGAGTGAGTCTGAGCGCGGTTGAGTCTGAGTAAAAGTGAATATGAGCATGAGGGAGTCAGACTGCCAGTGGACCTGCGCGTGTTCTGAGTACGAGCAGTATGAGTTGGAGTGAGCCTGAGTGCGCTTGGATTAAAGTGCGAATGGTCAGAGTGCGAATAGTCTGTTTGCGTGAGTCTGAGTACGACTGATCTGAGTCTGCTTGGATCAGAATGTGCGTAGGTCGAAGGAGGCGGGAAGGAAATGATGATCAAGCAGGGGCTCCGAACGAGTGAACCGCTCGAGACATCCCCACAACTTGTGCCCGACTGGGCAAGTGTCCTCCCTCCGTCGTTGGAGGCTCCTCCTTTGGGTGCCCGAGTGCCACCCCTCTATATCGTGATGATCGTGGGGCTCTCTAAGAGGGAAGTCTGATCCGCAAACACAGCAAACCGCCTGAGAAATCCTTGCACTCTTGGCACGACCAGGCAAGTACCCTACTCCCTGGCCGGTCTTCTTGGTGTCCCCAAATGCCACGCTTACTATATCATTGTGACCACGGGGCTCTCATTGTGATTGAGTGTCTGCCAACACACAATCCACAAATAACACACAAGCCGCCGTTGGCGCACTCCGCGCCCCGCGGAGAGGGGTCCAGCAACGATCCTAGAAATTCGCGCTGAGCTTCGAATGTATACGTGCTATGCAGTTTTCTCTTATCCTACTTTATTTCAAGACGTTGAGTCAACCTGCAATCATATTTCCACCCAGTCTCAGCATGAGGGAAAGGGGTCCTGAGGTAAAGGAGTCCCCAGTATTTCTGTGCGTTTCCAGTTCCCCAGGGCCCCTCCCAAGCTCTGGAAATTGTCCCAAAAAATAATACAGGATGAAATAGCTATTCTTAACGCTTCGTGTACCCCCAGCAGCCCATCCAGAAACGATGCCCAGGGGAGCTGCTCTTTCAGGAATGCGTGGCATCATCGGGAACCCTTTTGGACCCTCAGTGGGACAGAGGCCTCGTGGATCCCTCTCGTGTTCGCTTGGGATGTTTCTTGGAGGCCTTCTGGAGGTCTCTTCGAGCGTCTAGGTGGCCTCTTGGTAGCTCTGGATGGCCTCTTCGAGCCTCTTGATGGCCCCTTGGGGCCTCCTTGGGTCCTCTTCGGGGCCTCTTGGGTGCCCTTGGGGCCTCTTGGGCGCCTCGTCGGGCCCTCTTGCGGCTACCTTATGGGTTTCTGGGACCATCTTGAAGGCCAGCGAGTAAGAAAGGGGGCGGCGTTAATCAGCTTCGTTGGCCCACGTCAGTTCGAGAACATCCATGAAAGCTTTGCATGCTCGCCGGATCCTTCCTGGACGCACTAACCCCCCGCCACCCCCCCTTCCAGACAGACACTGGGCGGGGGGAGGGCAGGGGAGCGGCAAGTCCCTCCCCGAAAGAAAAAGAGGACACATACGAACGAGGAGTTGTTCCAGACCGCCTCAGCCCAAAGGGCTGGCAGGATTCTCTGGAGGGGCCCCCCTGGGTGTCGAGGGTATTTTTTTTGCACATCTCAAGGATCTCTACACTTACACCTTACGAATACGATTATCCCCGCTCCCCTGACCCTGTACAGAAGATCCAGCCCCTCCCTTTCGCGTCTCGTTTTTTACCCCAGAGTGGGCCGACGTGTGTGTATGTGTGTGCGCGTGTGTGTGTGTGTGTGTGTGTGTGTGCGTGTGTGCGCGTGTGTGTGTGCGCGTGTGCGCGTGTGTGCGTGAATGCGTGTGTGTGTGTGTGTGTGTGTGTGTGTGCGTGCGTGCGTGCGTGCGTGCGTGCGTGCGTGCGTGCGTGCGTGCGTGCGTGCGTGCGTGCGTGCGTGCGTGCGTGCGTGCGTGCGTGCGTGCGTGCGTGCGTGCGTGCGTGCGTGCGTGCGTGCGTGCGTGCGTGCGTGCGTGCGTGCGTGCGTGCGTGCGTGCGTGCGTGCGTGCGTGCGTGCGTGCGCGCGCGCGCGCGCGTGCGTGCGCGTGCGCGTGCGTGCGTGCGTGCGCGTGCGTGCGTGCGTGCGTGCGTGCGTGCGTGCGTGCGTGCGTGCGTGTGTGTTATGTGCTCTTGCCATATGACACAGATGGTGGTTCCGCTGCAGTGTGGGCCTCATGTTCGGATCGGTGTTGTTCCCGTCGTTCAGAACGACACTTTCGCCCCAGCGCGATCCGTTTTTCTGGATCCGACTCCTTGTTCATTGGTGTCGCCCCCTCTGTTCCCCTCCTCCGCCTTCCCCTGGTCCTTCTGCTCCTCCCAAGTCTTCCACTCCAGCTCCTGCTGTTGCCTTTCGTAATCGTCGCCATCCTTCCTCAGCCTCCTCCTGTTCCTCCTGTTCATCCTCCTGCTCACACGCCACCTCATCCTATGTTCGCAGCTCTCCTTTCCCGACTGCGCATAACACGATGGAGTCTAGTTTGCTTGTTTGGAGTTCCAGATCGGCTATGAC